GCACATACCCAAATTATTCAAGAAATATCCACCACTACTATTTATATTTTTTCAACTTCAAACTCTTTTCTTTTTCACATATCAACCAATTTTTCTTTCTTTTTTCTTTAAGAACAAACATTCCTTCTTTTGTATCGATTTTTTCTTTGTTCTTCTTTTTTCTTTTCTTTCTTTTTTTTTTAAAAGTAATAAACCTCCATGCTTATGATTCCTTCTTTTCTCTTTTTCTTTTCTTTCTTACAATTTCCACATTCAACGCCAAACTCATAACAAAATTACACAAAACACCACACAATGAAGCTCCCTGGTAAGACTGTCGCGTGTCTACCAAAAATAAACCTAACTAAAACCTCCTAAAATGTAGTAGGGTAAGCTAGGGTCGATCCCACAGAGAATTGGATTAATCAAACTATTCCTTGCGAATGTTAGAAACCCTGTTTTAAAGATGGACTTAAATGATCTAAAATATAAACTATGGACTCGAAAACAAAATGAGTACGGAGAAATAAAAGTGACAAAATTAAATGATCAAAATCAAGAATGACAAAATAGGGATCGGGAGATATATTATAGCATTGGAATATAAATTGTTCATCGAATTACATAAATTATGCATATATCTTGATGTTAACTAATGAACACCGACTAGAATTCAAAATTTCCCTTAAGTGAAAATAAACCAAACAAGCTCTTGGAATATTGTCTAACTAACTAACAATCTAGAACAAGCTCTCTAGACTTGATTAATTAGTAGCATTAATAATTAGGAAGTAGCTAACTTAAGCAACAAATCTCACAAGCTCGGATTCGTGCAACTTAAAGGGTTGGTAATCATAAGCATCAGACAAGTTTTAGTCACCTATCAAATATCTAAGTGCTACTAAGGAGTACTAACCCGGACAATTACGAATCACAAGATAATACTCTAGCAATTAAACTAACAAATTATACTAAAGATGGCCGATCTATAATATAATCTGTCAGTTCATACCAATAAAACAGAATACCAATCCAATCAAGAAATAAACATACTATTGTCAAATTACCACATTCTTATTCTCACAACGCAATCATCCAATGTATATTATATCTCCGTACCCACTAATAATCTAGCCTAACATACTGAAAAGTAAAAGTATAATAATGAAAGCGATATAAATCATATTACTTAAAGGAAATCAGGAAATAAATATAAACAAGTATGAATCCAATAATACTTGAAGTTACTTCTTAATCTACTACTAATGTTGATGAACAGAAATAAACTACCACCAAATCCAACTACTGGAATATACATGCAAGAATTGTGAACTAAAAAAAATAGAATCCAGAATACCAAATCAATGAAATAGCACCCTCCAACGAAGTCCCTTATTCTCTGCCCAAAAGACAAGAAAAGCTCCTTTATCCCTGTAGCAATCGAAGGATTATGGAGCAGATAAGTCACCTCGACTTCGCTTTACCGCTGCTCAGCTACTTCACCGCCACTGCTCTGCTTGACCGCCGATGCTCTGCTACTTTGCAGCAGCTTCGCTAACCCAGAAAGTACGGAACTCCAAAAACCGAAAGATAAGAAAACTCGTTTTTCATTCCTCTCTGTAGCTCCGAGTATTTCGCTCCAATAATTATCTGATTTTTATCTTTTTCTTCTTTACGCTGATATTTGATACCCACAAGAGTATTGAGATGAACTCTTAACTGCTGCTTTTTTATTTGTGTTGGCTGAGTGACATGTTGGTGTACCTCAAGGCCCACGTTGCTATTTGCACTCAAACATCATTGGGCTTAATATATGTGAATTACTTTAGTCTTGTGAGCTATGCTTCTTTTGATCCGAGCAGTGGTCAAATGTATTTTGCTACCATAATCTTCTTCCTACAGACAATAAGAATAAATAGTAGTTACTCGTGTCTAAATAAGAAAATTACGTAATATACCTTTAAACCATCAAATACCAATATAAAATCAAGAGTTTAATTAATAGATATAAATATTATATTTTTACGGCCCTATCACTCCCCCAAGCTAAACTTGGGAAAAGTAACCAATTCGGGGCCAAGGGTTAAATTTGTGAGTTTCACGAAAAAAAATGGACAAGCTACAACATGGGTGAGCAAGAAGGGAACAAACGTTCTAAATTCATCTGGAGGTCACCTAATGAACATGGCCTTCGTCATTCTCATCGTGCACGTGCAATGTATCATGACACATTACTAAAAGTCTAGAGTCAAAACTAAGATCAATATCACACCAGGAACTAAACGCACATGAATGAATAAATAAGGCTCAAGCCTCACGGTTAACACAATCAAGCTCCAAACTCATACATGGTTAACAACATTGACTCCTGCTAGGGATTAAACAATTCGAGGTCAAATCATGATCTTTTAATCCACAATGCAAGCCTTTTAATCGAGATTGAATCAAAAACCTTTTTGGCATTAAGAATAGGGGCATAGGGAAGTGGTTCATTGGCCGTTCATTATCATGATTCTCGTATTTTTTTCATTTTTCATTTTTTCATTATTTTTTTTTCATTACTACCAAAGAAACTAACTACCAAAGCAATGAAAGCAAACCAAAAAAAATAAAAGAAAACAAACAAAAGCAAAAGTACTAAGAGAACGTACCGAAGCAAATATACATATGCACAAACTTCCCCCAAGCTACACTCGGCAATGAACTCATTGCGTCGTGTGGGAAGTGAGAAAATATTCACGAGCTCTCACTCGAACTCATCATCATCATCACCATCATCATCGTGACCATCATCATCATCATCATCAGCTGCTCCACTACTACCTGCGATATCTCCCATATCGGGAAAGGTATACCACGAGGGATGGGAAGCATCCCTCAAGATATAACCTTGCCTGCAAAAATAATCATAGACAGGATGCATAGACTGGCGAAGATCGGTCTCGAGAGTCTGGAGACGGGAGTATAGGCCTTGTTGGCCTAATTGAAGCTCCTGTATACCGGCTATGATGGCCGCATGATTAGAAGAGACAAGTGGAGTAGTGGAAGAGGAGGAAGGTCCAGCAGGCTCTCGCCTATGGTAAGTCCTCGTGGGGGCAACTGGTGGAGGTGGACCACTAGGAGCCTCTAAAATGTAAGAGGGCTGGTGAGGGTGAATCTTAGTGAGCTCAGGGGCGGGTAAGGGGATAGAACGCCTAGTGCTCTTGTCAAGGAGCTAACTATAACTACCAAAATCCACCGACAACCAGCCGAGGTAGTGCTGGTCCAAAGTGATAGGACCCGGCACGGGTGTGTGTTGGGCTTCAGTAAAGCCCTCCTTGACTGCTAGGTGAGTCACCAAACCACCTAAAATTATGGGGATGTTAGTGTGGTCTCCATTGGGTTTAATAATGGTGAAAGTGGCTCCTTGTTTCCTAAGGTGAAGGGCGAATAGGTGGGCTATGTTCATACGAAATCCCTCCTCATCATCCCCGTACCTCAAATAGCTACCCAAAATGGCTACCTCATTCGCCCTAACATTGTTAGGTTCTATCCTCCCAAACATAGTCCACCCCGAGAAACGAGTCCATAGCCTAAGGACGGGTTGGTAGATTTTATGGGCTCGGGCATGTTACATTGAGTCAATGTTTTCCCCCGTCATAGCCAAACACAATTCCCCTGAGGTAAAGTTATTCGGTTTCATAATTAGTCCTGTAGATGGGAGGCCAAATTTTCTAGCAAAACCGTCTAAGGTAAGGCGATGGGATTTGTTCATCAACCTATAGACCACATGTGTAACTAGCCCATCCCTCCCCTTAACAACATTAAAGGAGCTAAAAAATTCAAGAGTTATGTCTTCATATGTATAGTGTATCATGTTGAATAATTGAGACATACCACGCTTAGCAAACAATGTTCTACACTCAGAATCAATCCCTAGTTTAGAAAGAAGAGAACGATCAATAAAGCGAGAATCTAGATATTACCTTTCGATGTTGAAGTTCAAGTAAACACGTCTTTTGGTTCGGGAACTCGGCCACGAACCTAATGTTGGGGTAGGCAGGGATGCTCTCCAAGTTGAGTTGGGGTTGTTGAGGTGCTCCTCTACTCCTCTTCCTTGAAGCCATGGATGACTCTTGAAGCTTTCTCTCTCTAAACTAAGAAAGCTGGGGTTTAGGGTTAGAAATGTATGTGAAGGTAAGAGAGATAGTTATGGAGGTTCAGAAGTGAATAGGGAAGATAAGGGATGAAGAAATTAAGCAATTTGGGTGAGATTTGTGGAGGTTAGGGGAGATGATGGGAGTTAGGGTTTAAGGATTTGGGGATTTTTAGAGAGAGAAGGTGTGAGAAATTGGGGTTGTAAATAAGAAATAAGGAGGGGAAAGGGAAAGTTTATTTCTTGAAATAACAAAACTCTGTAGCTACCCCTTCACGCCCGATCGGGCTGGGCTTGCCCGGCTTGACCGGGCAGAGAAGGTTACTTTAACCTTCAATTTCTCAAAATTCTTCTCCTAAACTTGACTCTCGCGCTCGATCGGGCAGGGGTTGCCCGGTCTGATTAGGCGCTGAAGACTAAAAATTTAGCGTCTTGTGCTGCTACTTTCTACCTTCCCTCGCCCGATCAGGTGCCTTATGCGCGGTCTCACCGGGCAGTAGGAGGTAGATATTGTCCATCATATTCCCTTCTCTTTTCTTTTTCTCTTCTAATGGATGCCACTCGCGCCTGATCGGGCAAATCTTGCCCGGTCTGACCGGGCAGCGAGTAATTCTCCCAATTATCATCCTTTGATGAATTATCTTGGCATCCGACTTTTTCCATACCTCGGTGTTCTTTGAAAAACAACAAAAACAAATACAAACACAACACAAAACAACAAAAAAAGGAAATAAAAATAAAAATAAAAAACTAAGAAAAATGGGTTGCCTTCGGAAGCGCTTGTTTATGTGGTCGTTAGCTTGACCGTAGTAATGCTCATTGGCTTGGTGATGGGGAGGAGAGTGGGATATAATTTCAACCTTGAGTTGAATAAAAGGACTTGATATCATTCCTTAAATTCTCTTCTCACAAGACCCTTATAATGCCACCTTTTGGTCTTTTCTTTGTACAACTTCGAGCTTTCGTAGGCTTCAAGACGGAGCTCGTCTAGCTCATTTAATTGTAGCAATCTCTTTTCACCCGCTGCTTGAGCGTCGAAATTCAAACTTTTAATAGCCCAAAAGGCTCGGTGTTCTAGCTCGAAAGGTAAGTGGCATGCCTTTCCATACACAAGTCTATATGGGGTTGTACCAATTGGTGTTTTAAAAGTCGTTCGGTATGCCCATAGCGCATCATCAATCTTAGCGGACCAATCTTTCCTTATCCTTGAAACTGTCTTCTCTAGAATAGACTTAATTTCTCGGTTGGATACTTCAACTTGACCACTGGTTTGAGGGTGATAGCCAATTCCAAGCCTATGTTGTACTCCATATTTCTTCAACATTGCTTCAAACCGATGCTCCAAGAAATGTGTTCCTCTGTCACTAATCAACACACGTGGGATACCAAATCAGGGGATAATAATTTTCTTGAAAAATTTACTTACCACACGAGCATCGTTAGTTGGAGTAGTAATAGCTTCCACCCACTTTGACACATAGTCAACGACTACTAAGATGTATCGGTTACCATAGGAAGAAGGAAACGGACCCATGAAGTCTATCCCCCACACATCAAATAACTCGACCTCGAGTATGTTGTTGAGTGGCATCTCATTCCTCCTAGAAATATTGCCCGTCCGTTGACATCGATCACATGCTTTGACATAGGAATACACGTCTCTGAACATGGTTGGCTAATAAAAACCGCACTTCAAGATCTTAGCAGCTGTCTTCAAGGGACCTGCATGTCCACCACACGGTAAGTCATGGCAATGAGAAATACTATTATTTACCTCATTCTTTGGGATGCATCGTCAAATCACAGTATCTGCACATAGCTTATACAAGAAGGGATCTTCCCAGAAGTGTCTCCTCGCTTCATAAAGGAATTTCTTCCTTTGTTGAGATGAGTAGCCGTGAGACATTGTACCCGTGGACAGAAAATTAGCCAAATCAGCATACCAAGGTGATTCAGTTTTCAACAGAGCTAATAAATGTTCAGCAGGGAAAGAATCATCAAAAGGGAGATCGTCCCCATCCTCAGGGTCGAGGAGAAGGCGAGAGAGGTGGTCTGCGACGACATTCTCAGTCCCTCTTGTGCCCTTTATCTCTATATCATAGTCTTGCAATTGACGGATCCACCGAATCAACCGCGGCTTGGCATGAGTTTTTCTCATCAAGTATCTCAATGCTGCATGATCTATGTGAATTATTACTTTTGAGCCAACCAAATAAGAATGAAACTTGTCAATTGCATAAATTACAGCTAGCATCTCCTTTTCAGTTGTGGCATAATTCATCTGAGCAGAGCTAAGAGTTTTACTAGCGTAATAAATAGCATGAAGCTTTTTATCCTTTCGTTGCCCCAGAACGGCTCCTATCGCATAATCACTAGCATCACACATAATTTCAAATGGTAAGGTCCAATCCGGGGGTTACATAACAGGGGCAGAGATCAAAGCTTCCTTCAACCTGTTAAAAGCCACAAGATAAGCATCAGTGAAAATAAATGGAGCATCCTTAGCTAAAAGCTCAGTTAGAAGTCTAGCAATTTTCGAAAAATCCTTAATGAAACGACGGTAAAAACCTGCATGACCAAGAAAACTTCGAACTCCTTTTACAGAGTTCGGAGGGAGTAATCGCTCTATGACCTTTATTTTTGCCTTATCAACTTCGATACCCTTATTGGACACAACATAACCTAAGACAATTCCATGTTGTACCATAAAATGACATTTTCCCAGTTTAAAATAAGATTGACTTTCTGGGATCTATGGAGCACCTTTTTCAAATTTTCAAGACATGCATCAAAAGATGTTCCATAGGCAGAAAAAATCATCCATAAATACTTCCATAGAATTCTTTATGAAACCTGAAAAAATTTCCATCATACAACGTTGAAACGTGGTTGGGGCATTGCATAATCCAAATGGCATCCTGCGATATGCAAAAGTGCCGTATGGACATATGAATGTAGTTTTTTCCTAATCACAAGGACAAATAGGAGTTTGAAAAGAACCCGAATATCCATCCAAATAACAGAAATAGGAATGCTTGCCAAACATTCAAGCATCTGATCAATAAAGGGTAGGGGGAAATCGTCCTTCCGGGGGGCCTTATTTAATTTCCTATAATCAATACACATTCGCCACCCTGTGACAGTCCTAGTGGCGACTGGCTCACCCTTGTCATTCTTGAAAATAGTCATACCTCCTTTTTTTGGTACTACTTGTACATGGCTAACTCACTTACTATCTGAGATAGGGTAGATTATTCCTGCAGCAAGCAATTTCAGAACCTCTTTTTTCACTACCTCCATCTTATTTGGATTAAGCATTCTTTGAGGTTCTACAGAGGAAGCATGATCGTCCTCAAGGATGATTTTATGCATACAAAAAGAAGGATTAATACCCTTAATATCATCAATGGTGTACCCAATAACACTTTTATATTTTCTCAAAACAGTGAGTAATTGCTCTAATTTTGTGTCCTTGAGCTCAGCATTAATAATAATAGGGTATGAATTATTAGGACCAAGATATGCATATTTAAGATTAGAGGGAAGGGGTTTCAACTCTACCTCAGGAGGCGTAGTACTCTCCCCAACACTCGCTGCACTAAGTACTTCTCTGATTGGAATAGTGATTAGGTTGGCTTTTGCTTCCTCAAGTAGCCTTGTGTACTCCTTTGATTCCCAATCTTCATCATCAACATTCCCCAGTAGTATTGTTTCAAGTGCATAATCTATTTTACTCAAGGGGAGTTGCACACTCTATAGATCGTCAAGGACCTCCACTTGACAAACAGTCTCTCCCATAGAAGGAGTGCCCATAGCATTCAAAAGTGAATACTCCATTTTCTCGTCCCCAACCTCAAAAGTGATTTTGCCATTTTTCATGTCAAAAATTGCGCCTGCAGTAGCTAAGAATGGCCTACCAAGAATAATGGGAACATGTGCATCCTCCTCCATCTCCATCACAACAAAATCGCAGGGAATAAAGATTTTTCCTACGCGAAGAGGCACATCCTCAAGTACACCTAAAGGAAACTTAACCGACCTATCTGCAAGTTGTAGAGATATGCGTGTAGGCATAAGTTCACCCATTTGAAGCTTCTTACAAATGGAAAGTGGCATGAGACTCACACTTGCACCAAGATCACACAATGCCCTGTTAATTTCAATGTCTCCAAGTTTCACTGGAATTGAATAGCTACCTGGATCACCTAATTTCTTAGTGAGTGTGTTTTGCAAAATTGCACTACACTCTGCAGTCAAAGCAACTGTAGCATTCTCTTCTAGATTTTTCTTATTAGAGAGCATATCCTTTAAAATTTTTGCATAAGATGGCATCTTAGATATTGCATTTAAGAGTGGAATATTAATATGAAGCTTTTTCAAAATATCAAGAAATTTTCCATACTTTTTCTCTAACTTGGCTTAGGCTAACCTCTACGAAAAAGGAACCTTTTGCACATATGGAATAAGAGGTGGTGGAGTTGCTTCCTTTGGCTCTTCCTCGATCATCGGACTATCATTCACCTTCTCACTTTCGCCTACCCCTTCAACAACCTCTTTTGATGGCTCCTTGATAGGAGGATCTTCTAATTGCTTTCCACCCCTCAAAATTACAGCATTCATATGCCCCTTTTGTGGTTACTCTGTCTGACCCGGAAAAGTGCCCGGTGTCTTTAAAGATTGGCCAACTTGATGAGTAAGTTGACTTACCTGATTTTCCATGAGCTTACTCTGGGCTTGTAACTGTTGTATAGAACTATTTTGTTGTTGGATGGAATTGTTGGTTGTGGTGATAAAATTTTCCAACATTAGTTGAAGGTTGGATTTTTGAGGAGGTGGTTGAATAGGTTGTTGGACTGGAGGTGGCCTTGGTTTGAAACCAGGTGGTGCATTGTAGTTGTTGGTTTGAGGTGGTGGTGGAGGTCGATTTTGTTGGGCTTAGGTATTCTTATAGGAAAAATTTGGGTGACTCTTCCAACCTTCATTAATGTGTTAGAGTGGGGGTCATATGGCCTTTTGGGGTTGGAAGTATATAATGCATTGGCTTCTTCAATCGACATGTCATTTGAATTTTGTGGGCAATTGGGTGCAATGTGACCTTGCACATTACACATTTGACAAGTCTATGGTAAGCTAGCGGATGTTCCAGCTTGGAGTCTATCAAAGTTGTTTGTCAATGTCTGCACAGAACTAGTCAAAAGAGTTAGAGCATCAACATCTAATTTACCTCCCTTCTTCATATTATGTCGGCCTCCTGGATGATAATTATCATTTTCCACCATCTTCTCAATCAGCTTCTTTGCCTCAGTTGGGTTCTTTGTCAAGAGAAAACCTCCTGATGCAGCATCAATGTAGATTCGGAACTCAGGGGTTAGGCCATTATAGAAGGTTTAAATCAACATCCATTCAGGAATACCATGGTGAGGGCATTGCCTCTGCAATCGTTTAAATCTCCTCCATGCTTCATAAAGGGACTCATCATCTGACTGCCTGAAGGTAGATAGTTCGTTTCTTAGCCTTGCAGTCTTTTCCTGTCCCAAGAACTTAACCAGGAAAACTTTCACCAGCTTGTCCCATGTATCAAACGAGCCAGTTCCTTCATCTCTCAACCATTCTTTTGCCCTATCCCATAGTGAAAAAGGGAAAAGGCGAAGCCTGATAGCATCATTTGTAACACTATTCATTTTCATAGTATCACATTTCTCCAAGAAACTACCAATATGACTTACTGGGCAATTATGTAGTGTGCCTGCAAATGAATCATTGGAGATGAATTGAATGAACTGTGATTTCAATTCGAAGTGCTGAGCATTGACTGGTCTGACAATGCTAAAGAGGAGTCCGATTGACGTATCAGGAATACCGTACTCAAAAAGAGATTTCGTGCCTTCTTCCATGTTTCTGTTGTTTCGATATCTCCCTCTTCTTCTACCTCTTCGTCTCCATACTGTTGCTTCGATTTCAAAATCAAAAGGTGCTAAATCGTCTGACCCTGAAAGTCATGTTTGCATGCAACAAAGAACTAAAAGAAGAGTATCAAAAACACAAGGAACAATAGCCGAAGCAACGAATAAAGCGTAGCAAAAACGAATCACAAATAATCAGAAAGAAACCGTTAGTCCCCGGCAACGGTGCCAAAATTTGATAGGCGTGCCGTGTACCTAACAAAAATAAACCTAACTAGACCACTATGTAGATGGGCAAGTAAGGATCGAATCCCAAGAGACAAAGGTTCACCTAATTAAATAGACTCAAGCAATCACTAAGCAAGTAACAAATCAATGGTGATGAACTTCTAAGAAATAATAATTAAAGGACTCAATTAATCTAAAGAATGTGATAAATCAATGAACTAAAGCATCCAAGATCAAGCATTACCACGAATATAACCAATGCATAAATAATTCTACCACCAATAACAATTCAATCGACAAGAGGAAAAGAATTCCCTAATCAATACCAAAGGTCTCTTCTGAGTTATCAATGGCTTCCCAAATCAACTATCAAGCCTATTTCCATGGAATCAAACAAATAAGGGACATTAAACACAATACTTAACTTCCTAATCATTCAATCATCTACTTCCGTGATGACCTTCAAACCCTTAATTGAAATACCCAAATCCCGTTTATATTCAACTTCCGTTGCAATAAAACCAAAGGGATGATAACAATACCAATTATTCCTAATCTAGTATTGGCATAAACACAATCAATCAAGCATGTCAATTGGAAATATTATTCGAGAATTTAAAGATTAAATCTAAGCATTAATCATATCTGGGCCTTGCAAGATCCCGGATTATGAATCTACTCACACATAATAGCAAAACCAATAATAAGATTTAATAGAGAAAACATAATCAATAAGCAATAATAAATGAAAGAGAAGTGAGATAGATGAATACCAAAATTGCTTCAATTGAAAGAACTTGAATTGTTGATGAACAATAATCAAACTAAAAGAGGAATTAAAATGCTTAAAGAAAGTAAAACTAGGGTTCATAAAGAAAACTAAAACTATAGGATATAATAATGTGTGTTTTAATTGTGATTACAAAGGGTATTTATACCCCCAAAAACATAGAATTGCGAAAATAAGCAAATCGTCTTCCGCAAAGCAGTGCCCGTTCCAACCGGGCGAGAAGTGCCCTGTTGGGTTTCGTAGCGTCCAACGCTACGCGGAAGAGAAACCCGCCCAAGACCCGCCCCAATAATTACAGCAATAAAGCATGCATAAACATAATTAAACAATAATTAAGAAAAGGGATAAAGAAGTAATACCCTTGAAGCGTGCTTCGCTCGTAAACCAAGCTCTTACTTCGAAGCTTAAAGCCTCACAAGCGTGACGGCCTCCAACGACTCGTACCCACGACCCAACCCGAACGATCTTCGTCTCGAGGGTTAGTCGAGACTTGACCAAGTATAAAACTAGAGTTTTACGAACTTAAAGGTTTTCTCAATAATAAGAGATGCCTTTTTGAGTTCCACTCAAGTTGTTTTCCTAGATGCCCAATCATGGGGTATTTATAGGGAAATGCAACTTGCACTCTCATTCATGATCAATGTGGGATAGTTGTGTTTTTCAACTAATTTATTTAAATCAAAAATAAATTATAAACAATGCAATCAACAATCAACAAGTGGCATGAGGAGAGGGGAGGTTAGGTGAGGACCATAACCATGGGGGGACCATTGCCTTGCTCCCCAAGGCATGGCTCTAAGCCTTGGTCCCCACTCTCCTTAAACTGGCACCAAGCAAGGGGTGAGCTGGCTGCCATGCCTTGCTGGCCAGCTAGCACAGCCAGCACAGCACAGCTAGCACGCACAGCCCAGCCAGCACATGCGTGCTGCTAGCGAGCCACGCATGCTGCTGTGCTAGGCGAGGCCTCTAGCTCGTTGCTGCTGCTGGGCGAGGCTCCTAGCTCGCTGTGCTTGGTGCTGCCATGCGAAGGCACGCACACACGCAAGCACGCTACTGCTGCTTGGTGCTGCCATGCAAAGGCACGCACGCAAGCACGCTTGGTGCTACCATGCGAAGGCACGCACACACGCGACAAGTACGAGCTAAGCCGTAGCCTCGCATTGGCTTAGTCATGCGACTGCTAGGCTAGCCTAGGTGTCACGGTCCGAAAGGTTTGACACCGGATCGTGCGGCGCGCTCTTATCTTTTGGAAGCAAGAACGCAAGCCTAGAGTGAGAGAGGTTCGTGGGCACACAGCAACACGGACCAAGGGTATCTAATTGAGGCACTCGTTAGCAACGAGTGCGGGGTCGGGGCTTGTGACGGCCGATACTTCGAAGCGGGCACAAGCGGAACCGATAAGGATGTAGACGTCTTTGAGGGTCTCTTGGTTTGGTGGGGAGCTTTAAAACAAGGCAAGAACAATATCTATAAAGGCTTAAATCAACACACAAGTCTTAAAGCAAAGGCAACACGAATAGGAGCTTTCATTCATTCAACCACTCGCTCCATATAGAGCTTTATTTTGATTACATGGAGAAATACTAGTGAACACTGAAATTACAGTAACACAATAATCTCCTCTAGCGTCTAGACTACTTACAAGAATACATTGAAAGTATAACATAAACTAAGTAGAGACATAAGAAAGCAAAATAAGGGCAAAAGAAAGGAAAATACATGATGGAAGAGGTTGGATCCTAACATCCTCCCCCACTTAAGCTATCGACGTCCTCGTCTAATTATAAAATATGACTAAGGAGACTAAAGAGGTTCTTGATCCTTAGGTCTCTGCTGAAGAGGTGTTGCACTGTCTGCTTCTAATGCTGGCTCGGGTGCTGATGTTGCGGCTTGAGTCTTCTTGATCTGGGTTGTAGGGCTTGAGGCGGCTGACGTGAAAGACTAGGTGTATCTTCATCCATGCTGGAGGTTCGACCTTGTACGCATTCTTCCCTATCTGTTTTATGATGCGGATGGGGCCTTCGTATTTTCTGATCAACCTTCGATCTCTTCCTCTCAAGAACTTCAGTTGTTCGGGTAACACTTTCACCATCACCATATCCCCAACATCAAACTCCAACGGCCTTCTATTTTGATCAGCCCACTTCTTCATTCTCCTAGCTGCTCGCTCTAAGTAGGCCCGAGCAATCTCTGTGTTTTGCTCCCACTCCCTTGTGAATTCTCGAGCTTGAGCACTTCGTCCGGCTTCGGTGTCTGCTACTGTGTGAGGCAGAGAGGTTGTTGGCCCATGATCAGCTCGAAAGGGCTCTTGTTTGACGAGGAGCTCTTTTGGGCGTTGAAACAAAGTTGATTTACATCGAGGAGTCTCACCTAATCCTTCTAATTGGCACTGACGAAGTGGCGCAAATATTCTTCAAGTAACCCATTGAATCTATCTGTCTGCCCATCTGATTGTGGATGATGACTTGATGACATATTGAGTTCTGACCCCATCATCCAAAACAACTCTGACCAGAAGATGCTTGTGAATCTCGTGTCTTTATCGCTCACTATACTCTTGGGGAGTCCCCAATACTTCACAACATGCTTGAAAAATAATGAGGCAGTTTCTTCGGCACCACATGCCTTTTGCATTGGAACAAAGGTAGCATATTTTGAGAATTTATCTACAACCACCATTGCTACGGAGAGCTGGTCCA